CCAGTTATTCCTCTTCTGGGTATTTTTTCCAAAAGAAGTGAAGACACCATACCGCAGTGATACATGTGCAACCATGTGGATCGCAGCACAATTTGTTATAGCCACATCGTGATAGGCATTTTGGCTGTTTCCACGATGTGGCTATAACAAAGATGTGACATTTTTGTACAATGGAGTATTACTCAGCTACAAGGCAGACAAACTTGAGGCCTAAGAAAGTAAGTGGATGCAACTAGAGGCTATACTCATAAGTTAAATAAATTAGACCCACATGTGTAAATATCAAATTGTCTCCCTAGTGTAAGAACCTGAAAGAATAAATAAAATCTGAGAGGAATAATAGATATAGTAAAATGGAAAGAAACTGAACATAAGGAATAAAGATGAGGGGGAAAAAAAGAGATAGGAAAGGGGAAAAATCATGAAAGTATGTATTCGGGATAGCTGAGATGATCGTAGCATTCATTTCTATCATTTTTTGAAAGTAGCAGCTAATGTTTAAACTTTTCACGCTGACTATTCCATATGCTATTATCTATCGTCTGAACAACTACATCAAAGACAGCAAAGTGTAATACAAAAACATGGCTGAATATCTCTCATCTTATTTTTCTATTTATTTATTTTCATTTACTTATTTTTAATGTATTTAGTACAGGGTCCTCAGGGTCTCACTACACAGATCAGACTTGTAGTGATCCTCCTATTTTTAGCTTCCCACGTCACCTCGCCCAGTCTCATCTTATTATTCTAAATGTGTACCATTTCTAATATTTTACCAATTAATATTCTCTCTATAAAATAAATTTTAAAAAGTAAAAAAGGAGAAAAAGTAAAGTTTATTCAAAGTAAGCATTAATGTTTATTTGACCAATTTTGAATACCTGTATCTGTTCATCTGAACAACAGATTTGATGGTGAAAATATGTAATATAACAACCACTGTTAAATTTTTTTCATTTTGAAACTCTGTACCATGTGCACTGTCACTTGTTACTGTTTTTGTCTTTGTTTCTATTTGTTTATACTCTTAAAAATAAAATTTAAAAAAAAGAAGTGGATTACAATATTTTTGAAGGCCCCATACAGTTTTCCATAATGGGTAGACTATTTTATATTCCTGTGAAGAGTTTCAATTTCTCCAATTTGTGCTGCCAACTATTTTTGTTATTTGGATAGTAGTCTATATAGGTGTTTATATCCTGATAGGTATAATGTGCTTCTTTTCCCTTTTTAAAATTGTATGCTGTACCAAGGACAGTTTCTTGTATTCATAATGCTTATAATGAAGTAATGCCAAAAAAAGTGAAATATGAACACAAGTCTCCTGAGGAAGAGGTGTTAATTCCTGGGCCCAATCCATTTGCTCAGTTCCTTCTTATAATCTTCCCCTGCTCCCCTAACTTCCTTCTACCAGCAAGTCTCTTGATCCTAGAACAAATCAGCATACTTCTTAACTGCCTTTGCTTTAGCATTTGCTTCCTTTCATGATGAGTGCCAGCCATTTCAGAAAAGTTTGAATTATGCCACATTAATAAATTCATAATGTAGGTTTGTGTAAGTCTTTCTTTTTCAAAAAGGGTAATAAGAAACTCAAGTTACCCACTGGGAATTCACAGGCAAGATGACTAAGGCACTTAGTAAGGAAGTACTTATGAGCTCACCAGCATTGTTGGTTCTGATGTGAGATAGCTCTCACAAAAAAGGCAACCTAGGAGCCAGTCCTTGGCACTCACCTTTCAAACCTTTCACAGCCAAAACTCAGAAGCCAAAATGTCTCCCGGGGATATTTGCATCTCCAACAGCTTCACTTTCTGGGAACACATTTCCAGAAATGTTTTGGAACATTCCTGTTTGGCTTTTCTTCAGCTGTACACAAACCAAGAGATCCGAGCTCAGTGTGGGCTTTCCTGGGTCCTCAGCAGCCAATTTCATCTGAATTACTCTGAGCAAGATTCTTAAATCTCTGACCTGCAGTTTCCTCATCTGTGAAACAGGAATAAAGCTGCTTGCCTACAGGCCTATCGTAAAGATTAACAGGACAATGGATATACACATTCTCTGAACAATACTGACATAGCAAGCAGCTAAATGAATACTCATTTTATTCTACACATAAGTAAGCTTGACGGATGGTTATTTTTCTGCAAATGAAATTATGAATGTGCCTATTCTGTAAATATTTTCTTAACTGTTTCTGAAATTTTTGAGAACTCTTCAAAGTAATACTGGGAAATATCAAGACACCTGACCTGTGTCATAGTAACTACAGTAAATGACAGTGTACTGTATACACTTGCAAATTTCTGAGGGTAAAATTTGCATATTATCACCACAAAAAAAAATGTGGTGTAATTTAAATCAGAATTTGAATCGGAGCCCAGAGTAGCAAACACAACTAAAGATGATGGTCATTCACTCATCTTGCTAACAGCATAAGATGCTGCCAATTGCTTCTTTGGCTACCCACTCATTTCTTCTGGGGTACATCCTAAGCATGACCCCTCAGCTTTCCCTTCAGTTGTATAATGTCTATACTCACGTGGTGATTTGCCTCTCTGCTTAAACTGAACAGAATTAAATTATTTCCAAGTAAATAACCATATAAATATTGAGGGGATTTTTTATTTTTATTTTTAATAGTGGTAAAGCACACCTTACATAAATTGTATCACCTTAAACATTTCCTGTATGACTTCATAGTGATAAATATACTCATAACACTATTCCATAATGCATATGCATGTCAAAATATGCTCTGTATACCGCACCATAAAAGTATATCATAAATCTATACAATTATGTCAATTAAAGGAAAACAATTCTTCTGGAAGTCTCAAGCTTTCAAAGGACCAGGCTTGTTTCATTTCAAACTGACATGCAGGGTTTTTCAAGAAACATTTCTAGGGTTCTCAGTGGTATGCATAAGGCCCTGGGTTCAATACCCAGAAAAAAGAAAAAGAAAAAGAAAAAAGACTAAAGAAAATAAAGCCAGAAAGAAAAAGAAAGAAAGAAAGAAGAAAGAAAGAAAGAAAGAAAGAAAGAAAGAAAGAAAGAAAGAAAGAAAGAAAGAAAGAAAGAAAGAAAGAAAGAGAAAGAAAGAAGAAATAGAAAGAAAGAAAGAAAACAAAGTTTTCTAACAATAAGCCCTTTAAATATTTTTCAAAGTAATTATAAAATGTCTTGCATCTATAAAACCTTTATCAAAATTTTTAAAAACTTATTTTGTTTTTTGACATTCACAGAAACCCAATGCAGTAGCAGAAGGGGCATTACTATCCCAGTTGCACAGATGAGATTTTGAAAAGTCTGTAACTTTCCCAAGACTTTGAATCCACTAAGTAACAAAGCCAGAACTCAAACTCAGGTCTTTGGTTCCAAGTCCCGAGTTGTCTCCAGTGTATCTCACCGCCTTTCCCAGGGCCATGTGGTAAACTGCTGGGAAAAAGTGAATGGAAAAAAAGAAAAGAAAAGAAAGCCAGAAATGTAAGTATTGAAAGTCTTTTTGGAATCTGAAAGAATAAGCATTAATCAATAAGTAAAATGTCATGACCAAAGTCTAATAAGTCAGTTAACACTGGAAGTATTTTAATTTCTTTAGTTTTAAAGCTACAGCCTTTAAAGCAAAGCACAGTACTTTTGAAATCTCCACTTTCTCAAATGTATTATTTTTATGCTGCAAATATTGGGTTTTTATTTTCCTTTCTTAGTTATGAATGCATAGATTAAATATATATCCTGAATATATCTTCCTGTAATCCTATTTTTAAAACTAATATTTTAATTCTCATAATACAGATATTTGGAAATGGTACAGAGAGATTCTTTATGTATCTGGCATTCCAGCGAAGAGTGAACAAGTAAATGAAGGAAGAAATTAGCTTGAGTACATTTCCACACTTCATGTTAATCTTTCAAAACTTGTTAAAAAAAACCGTAGTCATCCAAAATTATAATAACTCATTTTAAAACAAATTAAC